TTTACTGTATGATTTGTTTATGGGTAAAACAAAGACCATGCAGGTCAGGTAGTTTAAACGGTAGGCTACAAATAATTAATTCGTTATTAATCAATTAATTATTCATGATCGAAAATCGAATCGAACCGTGACTTTAGAATCGAAAACGTAATCGAATCGATTTGGAGGATCGTGACACCCTTACTCTCAACTGAGTGTCCCGAGTTTGGTTGTCGACTGAAGAAGATTGTGGAAATATAAATTTCTATCATCTAATTCCAAAAGAACAATAAATTACGTTTAACTGAAAAGTTATATTCTTTGGTTTTTAATTATATAATTTCATTGACATGCCAGATAGGAGGGACACTAAACCTTTGCCTTGCTGACTACAGGCTAAGCCAAAGTGATGCAATTATCGGTTTCACAGCATGGCTGTATCTATTGTCTTCTCTTTTTCCAGAACATCATTTGCACACTGTAGTACTTATATACTGATGAGATCAGACCTGGAGAAGGCATGGCACCCTCCAGACAACCAGATTTCATTTGCATGCTTTGTTTGACTGTCCCCACCTACATGTATAAATGTGTAATGTTTGCTGTGCAGTTTAGAGTTTTGCTTTCGATGACGCCACAGCCACGCCGAGTTCTTCTTATTAAAAAGGATTCTGCTTTGAAGACAACCGAAAGATTCTCTCTGGTTTTTTGGGCTCTTAGAAGTTTACAACAGGATCTTTGGCATTAAGTTTTCTGTTCTGTTTGGGAAATCCACCCCTCCTATACATTTGTTTCTTTCGTTTATTATGCCCATGTTGTTTTCCCCTAGACTTGGGGCGTATTACATCCCATACAAAATCGTCGCAATTAAGATCTGATTTCTATAAATAACAGCGATCATCGCCGCCTGGCTGGGATACGATATACAGTGGGTATAATGTCAAACAAAAAATAAGGAAATTCATTTTACCCCAGTACTTTCAATGGAGTTTGTGCACTAGCCTGCTGCTAATGACGGCGCGTGTTTAAATGGTCTTTGATCTCTTTTTACGCTTTAACTAAATGAATGCTTAAGTTATTTAACTAAATGTATTTTATTTATATATTACAACATCGATGCTGTAAAAGGAACCCTATGAAATAGAAAAGTCACATTAAGCTCTCACTGGAAGTTCATCATTGGCTGAAAAACACTGTGCATATAGCCCATTCAGTTTAACAGAGAACAGTACAGCCTAAAACACCTCCATTCAAGTGCAGAAACAATGTGCATAAACATCGGTGTTTAAAATTGTGCTTACATTGAACATATATTATCGATAATTGTGGTTTTGTATCACAAAACGAGGAAGAAATCATATTATTTATAGTACAGTGGTCCCTCGGTATAATGCGGTTAATCCTTTCGTGGCCTCTTGCTGGTTCACGGATCTTTTAAGTGCAATTTGGCATGCTTTTTTTTTTTTTTTAAACAGCACATTGTGTTCTGCGTCCTGATTGGCTGTAGGCCATTGTCAATCAATCTCCTCCATGTGTCCTGTACAGCAGTGGTTCCCAAACTTTTTTTTTGCCCGAGACCCCCTTTTACCCGGGAAAATATTGTAAGGCCACCCTTCATATTTAATGAGATTATCGCTCATGTAAATTTGCAGTAAGGATGACAATAAGTTTTGTTTTCAAACAAACTGTATGTTTACTACTATATCTAGATATGTTTATGCACAAATAATGTAAATTACAAAAGTAAACCATTAGTAGGTATGTTTCGTAGGTTGTAACCATCAACCATTTTCACAGAGGATGACAAGCTGACTAAACATTGCTGCAGCTCTGATACAAGTTTTGGGGTGGGGGATGGGGGATGCTGCGGCTGGCGGTGTCGGGGGGGTTGGGTTGGGATTAGGTGTCGTGAACAAAAGTGACAAGGTGGGGAGGGGTTATGTGGGCCCCTAAATAGACTGATTTCACGCGGCCGCCATTTTAAAAAGCGAAATCGAGGCTGCGGTTGGAAATAAACCGGAAGTATCATTAGGAGTTACATAGGAATGTTGTGTAACTGGCTGTATATCTTATCAGCGAAGAGAAAGTGACACAAATTTATAATTTCTCTGCCTTCCGGGTAACCCGAAGGTCCGTTCTGAATGAATGGTGAATGTAAAAAGGGAAATCAGAGCTCATTTTCAGCTAAGTTAAGGGAAATGACACTAGTAAGCTAACGTTTTCTTTCCCAAACACACGTTTTAGATTCCATTTATCAAACTCGAGTTGATAAACTGATTCTTTCACTATATTAGACTTGTCACGATACTAAATTAAAAGAAAAACCGGCAATTTTGCGCTAACATTAAAGCCAATGTTGATGGCTTTCTTAAACCGGCGCTGATTTGACATTGTGTTCACGTGTTCAACAGAAATGATTGTGATTGGCCGAGAAGGTCATCAGTTCACCCACCGCTGTATACTGAGCACAAACACAGACGAGCCGAGAGATCTGCTTGATGACTCGACTGATCTTGACGGCTGCTTCGCGCTCCAGTCCGTGTATCTGTGTTCGCACTGGGTGAAGAGCGGTAAACTGAGTGCAAACCAAACACAGATACACAGAGACGGAAGCCGTGAAGATCAGTCGTGTCGAGACATCCGCGCTCAGCAGCGCTTCCATGTTAGCGGGGAAATATCCGGGTTTAAAACTTGAGTACCAGGACAACACTATCACAGACAACACGAGGGCGTGCTGCAGAGGACTGCAGTGTTTTATCAATCACCGGGTTACATAGACTGAAGCAGGAAAGCGTCCTCACGGTGTTTAACTGGTGCCATGAGCTGAAGCCTAGGAGGACACTTAAGCGCATCACTGAGATTGTGATGTTGTTTGATGCTAAATTGCTTTTAATTGTTTAAAATAAACTTACTAAATAATATTAAAGTGATGGTTACACCATTTTCTGCATTTTGAAATCTCGGCAACAGCTGGAGGTTTGTAGTACACGGCATGTTGCTGCAATGTTTACAGTGCTCGTCCTATACTTCCGGGTGTCTTCCCACCGCAGCCTCGCTTTGGTTCTTTAAAATGGTGGCCACGTAAAATAAGCGTATAACATCTCTGGGGGCCCCCGAAATGGATTAGCCCTTAGAATCGTCCTCCTTTGGATATTCCCCAGCATTATAGCACTTAAGTTGTCTGCTTTTATATTTGGTGTCGGTTTCTTTTACTTAGATTAGTATTTGCTAGTAGGAAAAATCTATTTGTTCACTTCTGCTATTTATACGTTGACATTGTATTTCAATTTATATTCTGATTGCACTTGACCTGCAAATTAGACTAGAGACTGTATAAAAGCACACAAACGCACCGACAGTTATAGGTAGATAGATTAGATTAGCGGGTGGTGAAAACTGCCCAACGCATCACAGGGACCACACTGCTAGCCATAGAGGACATCCAGAAGAAACACTGTTTGCGCCGAGCACGCAGTATTCTGAAGGACACCTTTCACCCAGCTCACAGACAGTTTTCTCTCCTGCCCTCCGGCAGGCGCTTCAGGCTCCCCCGGACAAAAACCAGCAGACTGAAGGCTGATTTATACTTTATGCGCTGATGCATAGCCCTTCGCTGTGGCCGTCACTGACGTGCACCTCTCAAAAAATGTAACTACACGTCGCAGCGACGCGTAGCGTAAGCTCTGTGATTGGTCGGCTTGGTAGCGCTGACGAGTCTGGGCAGGACCGAGAGCCGCGGGAATGGCGCGAGCAATTGTTTACAAGTGTGGAGTCCCGTGAAGGAGCTCCGGATGGAAAGTTTTGTTTTGTGTTTACCTCATAGTTAAAGTTTTTGCACGTCCGCCGGTTCCTGCCTCAAAATGAGCAAGTTTGAGCCACTTGTACATCCCGGAAGTGTTCAGAAAAACCAAGAAAGCAGCGAAGAAACTCGACACAGAGGAACATTTACACCTCACTGCCCACTAGCGTTTCGGAAGTGTTAATGCAGACCGACAGAGACAGCGCGCAGAAGTATAAATGCACAGCCACGCGCGTTGCATGCGCCGTGAGTTACGCCGGTCACCTGACGCAGAAGTATAAATCAGGCTTGAGGAACAGCTTTTTCCCCAGAGCTGTCTCCCTCCTGAACTCTGCCCCACACTGACTCTTTTGCCCCCCCCAATACACCCCCCACTCTCCTCTAACCTAAACTCCTCGCAATAACTGCACTGTTTAACATTTGCACATATTCAATGCACCACATTGAACTGTTTACTTATTGAACTGTACATACCCACTGCATATGGGCATTTGTAATTATGTACACACCCACTATACATATACACTGTAATCATGCTTATTTATCTGCATACTACTGATTATTAATAGCAACCTGTACTTATATTCATATATTGTAACATATACACTTGTAATCATGTTTATCTATCCCTGTACATATATTCATATATTGTTACATATTCACTTGTAATCATGTTTATCTATCTGCACACTACTGATTATTAATAGCAACCTGCACATATATTCATATATTGTAAATCTGCTCATAGCTTATCCAACCTGTATTTAATGTTCATAGTACATCAATCTGTAAATATCACCATAGTTTTCTATAACTGCACTTTATAACTTATTCCTGTATCCTGCACTTGCTGCTATTGCACTGCTGGTTAGACCTAAACTGCATTTCGTGGCATTGTACTTGTACATGTGTAATGACAATAAAGTTGAATCTAATCTAATCTAATCTAATAAGAGATAGACAAATCCATAAATTTCTTCTTTCCGGCTCTTCTTTCTCGGATGAAATTCTACATAAGCACAGCTTAGGTGTGTATCCTCGTTGATTAGTAACGCTAAACCTCATTGCACAAAAATTACCTGGCTTTTTGGCAAAAAAAAAAAAGGGAAATTACTCAGCGGGACCAGTAATGTTTTGCACGCCAGGGGGGTGTTCCACTAATACTGTGGCCACACCTGAACACTATCAATATCCATAATCTACAGCCAGTATAATAACATACCTGGGCCAATGTTGACAGCGAAGGGGCTCTTCGGGATGGCGATGCCTCCGAATGTGATGTTGACTGTGTGAGGACCGGCTTGCACTGGTTTGTATGTGCAGCGGAAGACGTTTTCACCCTTGTCCTCCATTACAGCCTCCACAGTGTTTTTATTACCCAGAGGGTCTTTAATGACGGCCGTCACGTCTCCCACTCCAGCACCTGATTCACACAGACAGCTTTATGACTTGATATTTTCTTTAATAACACAGAAGAGCTCTGACTCCAGCTAGAAGACTCAGACCTGCAGTGTAGATGTCGAAGAATGTGGGTTTGTTGGCGATGTTTCCCAGCGGCTCCAGTCCGGGTCCTTTAGCGGTCACTTTGGTCGGGTCTCCTTGGGCTTTGTCTACGTTCACCTCAAATGGGCTCTTTGGGATTTGTTGTCCAGCGAAAAGAACGGTAACCTGTGGATTACATGGTATTCAATACAGAGGTAAAGACTGGGCCAATCCACTTGTTAAGTCATCACACAACTGTCTGACATCACACATGTGTACACAGTCAGCTGTAGATTTACCGTACGTTCACACCGAAAGCGGTGAGAGTGTCAAAGTAGCCGGAAGTCATTCATTTTCAATGAGAGCCGGCGGCGATAGGCGGCGAGGAGCAGCGTGGCGTATCTTCGCCGGCGTGAGCGTCGAGGAGAGTTGAAATGAAGTCAACTTTATGGTAATGAGCTATGACGCGGTTCAGTGGCAAGCAATCAGAATGAAGACGTCCACCGCTTAATAGTAGTTCAGGGAACACAGACCTGTGAACTTTGGTTCCGACCACAGTTGTTCCCAAGGGTTTGATTATTGCGGTCGCCGGATTTCCAATTATTTACAATGTTTTCTTACAGGAACATGCATTAAATAAGTTACTGGCGAGTTACTGATGTTCATTAATGTTATATATTTATCTTAAAAAAGCGGGAATCTCACACAACGTGACAGTACAAAACAGTACTGCTGCTTCAGGGTATTTGAGACATATGGACACATATTGCATAAATAGAGCAAAGCCACACCACACGCAACTTGATCTTCCATTGTTGTATGAATTTGATAAGAAGTGCACAACATTTTCACGCTAGAAACATGTCTTATGCAGGAATGTAACTGATATGCTGCAACGGCTCCTTTAAATACAACATCAGTGTAGCGAGTTTTGACGCTCTCGCCGCCGGAGCTGAAGGCAGACAGCGTTGTCGCCAGGGCGGCCAGAGCGACCTTGGACGGTTAGGCATGGGCAATGAGTGACCGCCCGCATCTTGCATGGGGAGTCGGTGCCAAAAACAAAAGTGCCCCAGTAAAAGCTTTGAGATAACATTTACTTTATGCAAGTGTATTCATTTAGAATGGTGATCCCAGATTAAAGACGTTCACATTCACATTTGGCTCTTTTGTATGCGCAAGTTTGATATTCTTTATGTGCAACTGAAACAACGCTGGTGAAAACAAATTGACTATGTGCACAGAAAGCCATTCCCGCATGTCTCACACGCACTGCTCCTGATCCCGGTTGTCTACACGCACGCCGATATGCGTCAACATGCAAGTTGACAAAACTAATGTTTATATAATATGATGATGATGATGAAGATGATACTTTTGCTAAGCATGGCTGTGAAGCAGAAAGGAGGGATAATGAGCCAGGGAGGTAACTAAGACTTCATAACATTAATTCCCAGCCATGAGATAATTCAATAAAACAGATATTTTTTGTATTACATAGAATTGTCATAATTAATATTCATGCTAAAGTCTTTGCATATTACTCCAGTTGGGTATTTACATTGTTTTTCAGCTTTATTATTTTATTTATTTATTTATTAATTCATTAATTTTCTTGTCGGCTTAGTCCCTTTATTAATCCGGGGTCGCCACAGCGGAATGAACCGCCAACTTATCCAGCAAGTTTTTACGCAGCGGATGCCCTTCCAGCCGCAACCCATCTCTGGGAAAATTATTTTATTTAATTTCTGTTATTTATTTAGAATAATAATTGTATGATAATAATAATAATAATAGGGCTTTACGATGGCATAGTGTGTAGCACAATCGACCACACAACAAGAAGGTCGCTGGTTCGAGCCTCGGCTGGGTCAGTTGGCACTTCTGTGTGGAGTTTGCATGCTCTTCCCGTGATCGTGTGGGTTATCTCTGGGTGCTCCGGTTTCCCCCACAGTCCAAAGATATGCAGTACAGGTGAATTGGGTAGGCCAAATTGGCCGTAGTGTATGTTTGTGAATGAGGGTGTATGGATGATTCCCAGTACTGGGTTGCAGCTGAAAGGGCATCCAATACGTAAAACATATGCTGGAAGGGCTGGCGGTTCATTCTGCTGTGGTGACCCCAGATTAATAAAAGGACAAAACCGAAAAAGAAAATTAATGAATGAATAATTATAATAATTTAATTTATTTTATGATAAATATAAATAATTGTTATATTTATTATTACTGTAAGCCTCCATCATCCAGGTATAGTTTCCAGAGGAGTTGAAAAACTCAAAGAGCTGGGTGCTCTGTGGATCTAGTGGACTCAGAGACATGGCTCCAAATGAGTCTATGCTGTTTTTCAGCCTTCCTAAAGCACATAAAGCACAGCTACTCTCTTAATAAAATCCCTGTTTGCAATTTGGCATCGAAGCTAGAGTCTCCGGGCAGACAGAAGCCCTGCCCATGATGCGAATCCGCATCTATTGTGAAGTGAATTTGAAGCACAAACTAAGCAAATTTGAGGTGCGAATAAAGAGAGTACACTCAAAATGTTCACGCATCTGTTTAAACGCAAATGTCAATTTATTTGCGCATGCCGCATCTGGTGTGAACACAGTATAAGTGAAGTACTGCAGAGTATTAGTGAACCTGACCTTGTGTGTCCCCATGACCTGAGGGACGTAGGTGACGCTGTAGGTCTTCTTCCCTTCATTCAGCACAGGTTTCACCTCCTCTCTGCGGCCCTCTGGGTCTTCTACATACACCATGACCTGGCCCTGACCCGCACTGAACGTGTCCACAGTGAACACTGCCGGACGCATCACGCGGTTACCTGTCGGCTCAATACCTGCAGAAACACAAGTCAATAAATAAATGAGTAAATAAACATATAAGTAAAAAAAATAAATAATTAAAATAAAAAACATAACTAAATGAATACATACGCAAATAAGCAAGAAAAAATAAATACATTAAACAAAGTAAAAACGTCAATAAACAAATAAATAAGTAAATAAAGTGAACATATTAAAATAAATATATAAATAATAATAATTAATAATAATTATAAATAATAATAATAAATAATAATAAATAATAAATAATAAATAATCATTAATAATAAATAATAAATACATTAATGAATAATAGTGGATAAGTAAATAAAAATAAAAGAATAAATAAGTAAATAAACATAAGTTAATAGATAAATAAATAAATAAATAAATAAATAAATAAATAAATAAATAAGAGTAAATAGGTGAAAAAAATAGGAAAATAAAAGTAAATAAATAAGCAAATAAGTAAACAATAAGTAAATAAAAAGTAAATAACTAAATAAATGTAAGTAAATAAAATGCATACTAATAAAGAATCATCTTATCAGGTGTGTTTAGAAAATAATTTTTAAAAAGTAAAAAAGTAAATAAATAAATACATTTGCAAACAGAGATTTGATTTGCTACTGAACACAGCAGTCCTCTACAGGGAATACGTGTGATTTAGGAAACAAGGCTGCCTGTGTCAGGTTTTTAATGAGTTTTTATTTGCAGCGCTTTTAGAAAGGATATAATCACTTAAATGGAAAAATAACATCAGTGTGACATTTTCATTGTCTGCTGTAAATCACACAGAGGTGAGGATTTCCCAAGACGGCATACGCCGGCTCCGAAGTTAATTTAGTCACGGAAATTTTGTAGAGGTCATTTTTGGTGCGAGAACCAAAACTTTTCAACTCATTGGCTCCCAATTTCACAGTTTAAGACTTTACAACTGTTATAGGACACATTTACAGTACAATCTACTCATTAATCCTGCAAATAACAAGAGTGAGAATAGCTGTATTCGCAGAAATAAAGTTATATTATCAGTTAAAAGAGTGGATTTCAATTTCTTGAATATAGTTGATCAAACAAAAATACAGCCTTGACAAGCAGAAGGGACTCCTCTCTGCTCATCAAGACTGCATTTATTTAATCAGATATATAACTGCAAAATAAGTGTTTTCTATTTAATTAGTTTTAATAATTTATTCATTGCCATGATTAAAAGCTGTATTATCAGCATCATTACTTCAATCCTTCATGTATATGTTTATTTGTTTGTTGTGCTTTTGTTTTATTTATTATGAATAATGTAAAGAGTTGTGCTATTTCATATGTATGTGGAATAAAAAAGTAACTACTCAATTAAAAAGTTAGAAAGATAATATAATTATATTATCTTTATATTATTTTAAAATAATATAAAAAGCATTAAACAAGCTTATATAATTTCAGATGCAAAATTTATAAAAAATGTAAATAAATAAATAAATAAATAAATAAATAAATAAAATAATAATAATAGGCATTAAACAAGATTATATAATAATTTCAAAGGTTCAAAAATAAAAAATTATATAAAAATAAATTAATAAATTAAAAAAATAACAAGCATTAAATAAGATTATATAATAATTTCAAAGGTGCAAAAACAATAATAAAAAATAGTATTAATAATAATAATAAGCATTGAACAAGATTATAAAATCATTTCAAAGGTGCAAAAATCATACAAAATAATAAAAGTAAATAAATAAAATAAATAATAATAATAAGTATTAAACAAGATTATAATAATTTCAGAAGTTCAAATAATAATAATAATAATAATAATAATAATAATAATCAGCAATAAACAGGATTATTTAATAAAATCACAGGTGCAAAAATCATTTAAAATTATAAAAATAAACAAATAATAATTAAAAAATCATAAAAAAATGAAAAATAAATAAATAAGAAGAAGCATTAAGCAAGATTATATAATCATTTCAAAGGTGCAAAAATTATTTTTAAAAAAGATAAATAAAAATAATAATAAGCATTTACCAAGATTATATAATAATTTCACGAGTACAAATAATAATAATAATAATAATAATTATTATTATTATTATTATTATTATTATTATTATCATCATCATTATTAAACAATATTATATAATAATTTTAAAGGTGGAAATAATAATAATAACAACAATAATAATAATAAGCATTAAACAAGATTATATAATAATTTCACAGGTGCAAACAACAATAATAATAATAATAATAAACAATAAGAATAAAAATAAATTATAATTTTTAGAATATAACAACTTATATAAGCGGTTCATTCTGCTGTGGCGACCCCGGATTAATAAAGGGACTAAGCCGAAAAGAAAATGAATGAATGAATGAATGAATGAATAACTTGTATAAAAAAAACATAGAATTTTATAATAGTTTGAGAGATCATATGACTCTAAAGACTAAATTAATAATGCTGAATTAACTTAAGTTATTTTTAATTGACATATTTCACAAGAATGTTTTATTGCATTTTTTTTTCATATAATTATTATTTCAAATTAATTATTTTTTTCCTTAGCGAGCAAAAAATGAGCCCACAAAGATCAACAAAGTGAGACTTCACAGATCATCACAGGTATGAAATGTTGTCTAAACAACGTCATAATGAAAGTGTGATGTATCATGTGTCTGAGAAAGTTTCTGACCGCTTTGCTCCATTTCCTTCAGTCGATTCTAACACATCAGACAAGACTTATTGGAATTACAATATCCTGAAAGTCTGGAATGACAACGATCTGCATTTGTGTGGTTGCTCAGACTCATCTCTGTGTTTTGAAGATAACGTTGGGCGTTTCTATATAAACAAAAACACAAGAGTACAGACTGATAGATATCTCACCTGGACCGTATGCGCGCGCTTTCTTTGGGTTGAGTTTGGGTTTGAGAGGAGCTCCGGGCTTCAGTTTGGCTTTGGGGAACTGTGATAAATATGTCATGACTGACTGCTCGTCCACACTGGGGTCAATGATCTCCTCTGGAGCAATAACCTGGATAGACAGACAAAGGGTTTAAAAAAAAACTCTGCATTAATGATGTTTGTAGTTAGGGGTGTCACGATTTAGATTTTTAATCGAAATCGATCGAAATTTATGCTCAATTTCGATTATCGAATCAAAAAATAGAATCGTTGATGCTGCCACGCCCCCATGTCACGTCAGCTTGGCTTGCCAAGTGGGAAAAAAACAGGCTTGTTGAAGTGCTTGTTAAACTGCAGAAGCAGGAGACCCGTCGACAGAACGTAAACCCTCTCCTCTTTCAATGAAGTCGCCGGTGTGGAAGCATTTTGCATTTCCAGTGAGTTATGTTGACAACGTTCGTGTTGTCGACAAAAAAAACACAGTTTTGCAAGCTCTGCTATGTACGTATTACGTACGGTTCGTCCGATAGACAACACCGGCATCGCGATCCTCCGCCCGCCCCCGTTGCAAATCCGCTCGCGAAAAGTACACACTCAGGCCCTGTTTACACTGTCTTTGTTTTTAAATGGCATTTTAGAACGACAACGATTTGACATCCACAGTGGCGTGCAGCATTTCTGAGCAGCCCTCCTTCCTCTCTACCTCTGAAAATGCACATCACGTGACCACACACACACACAGCCATGCGCTCGAGACAGCAGGTCCAGGCAGTCAGAGGACTGCTTCAATCTTTCACTCTCTTGTACTTAGTCATTTTAGCGAACACTTCAGATACTGTTGGCTGGTTCCTGCTGGATGAGCGCCTGTTTTACCGACGCCACTATAACGACACAGAACACTGCCTATTCACGAGTCCCGCAGAAAAAGTGATTGACAGGTGGTAATTATGTGTGTATCTTGCCTTTATTCATTTACTGTATGATTTGTTTATGGGTAAAACAAAGACCATGCAGGTCAGGTAGTCTAAACGGTAGGCTACAAATAATTAATTGGTCATTAATTAATTAATTATTCATAATCGAAAATCGAAAATCGAATCGAATCGTGCCTTTAGAATCGAAAATGTAATCGAATCGAGGATTTGGAGGATCGTGACACCCTTATTTGTAGTAGTTGAGGTTTAAGATGGCACAATGCTGGGGTAAAATTAGAGGAGAATTGCCTTGATTAATATGGAACCAGTTTTGTTTCTTTAACGTCATCGACTTTCGCTTTAAGATTTAAAGGGCCAGCATTGCACCAGACCCCCTTAAGTGGTTTCGTTTGAAAGTGTAGAATCTATATTTTATGCACATATGCATCACTTTGGTTTTTATTCTACTACAAAAAAAAAAAAAGGTATTTACACTTAACTTTAAGCAATAACAATACAACATTCCAATTAGTTTAGCAAAATAAAAAACAATACTTAAAGCAATTACAATATGTCATTTATATAATCATGCAAAAGTAGTGGAAAAAACATGTTTAAATATTATACTCAAATTGTCCAAAAATTGACCATTTCAACATTTAATTTCTGTGTCTGTCTGGATAGTAAAACAGCAGCAGAGGCAAAAAAAAAAAAGTCTAGCTCATGCTTCCATTGTTTCTTTTTTGTGTCATGGCCAACACTTTAACCTTTAGGCAGAACATTATGTCATTTGCACCGTTACCCATAAGAAGGCAAGTCTCTTTACTCTTAAGGTTTTCAAGGAACAAACTACTGTCATGAAGAAAAGCATGTATATAATTGATGAGTGTGTTTGCTGAGGTGTGATTGAGGTGTGGTGAGTACCATATTAACCACACTGCAAACACTGCAGCAATTACTAGTGTGTGTGTGCATATATAACACATGCCCTTCTTTATTCTTATCTGAGCCTGATATTGAGCTGCTGCATGAATAGAGAAAAAACAAGACATTTTTCAATCACACCCTTCAGTGGACAGAGTTTAGCTTATTTAAATGCTTACTATGAAATACATTTAAATTAAATTGAAAAAAATATTAAAAATGTAAATAAGATAAAAGATAAAAATGCAAATAAACTGTTAATTATAAAATTTTACTAAAATAAAAACAAAACTTCTAATATAAAAAACTAAAAATATTGAGCTGCTGCATGAATGAAAAAGAAAACAAGACATTTTTTAATCACACCCACGGATGAACAGAGTTTGACTTGCTTAAATGCTTATAAAATATATCAAATCAAAATTAAACGAAATAAAATAAAGAACAAAATAAAAAAGTAAAGAATAAATTAAACAAATAAAATATTGAGCTGCTGCATGAATGGAATAAAAAACAAACATATTTTTTAATCACACCCTCAAGTGGACAAAGAGTTTGGCTTGTTTAAATGCTTACTTAGATGTTGCATAAAATAAAATAAAATCAGCTAAAAAAAATTAATCAAAATAAAAAAATTAATAAAATAAATTAATAAATAAAATAGAATAAAAAGTAGAATATAAAGAAAAAATAGAATAAAACAAAAAAAGAAAAAGAAAAAAAATAAATAAATAAATAAAATATTGAGCTGCTGCATGAACGGAGAAGAAAACAAGACATTTTTTAATCCCACCTGAGCGGACAGAGTTTGATTTGCTATTATTTTCTTTAAATAAAATAAAATAAAATAAAAATGTACAAAATGATAAAAAAAAATGAAATAAATAAAAAAAATATTGTGCTGCTGCATGAATAGAGGACCAAACAAGACATTTTTAATCCCAGCCAAGTGGACAGAGTTTGGCTTATTTTAATGCTTATTCTATCGCATAGCATGGCATAACATAGCATAAAATAAAACAAAAAAAGATAATAAAACATTTAATTAAAAAGTTAAAAATAAATGAATAAATAAATAAATGAATAAAAATAAAAAATAAATAAAATGTACACTTAAAAATTTTAATTAAGTAATAAAAAAAATAATCAAGCTGCGGCAGAGTTTGGCTTGTTTCAATGCTTACTCAGATATTGCGGAGCACAGCACAACATAAAATAACAAAATTAAATAAAATAAAGAAGTAAATTAGAAATAAAATTAAAAATTGAAATATAAAAATTGAAATAAAATTTTAATTTTGAAATTAAAATGAAACAAAAAAATAATTATATTAAATATTTAAATAAAATAAAAAATAAAATTAAACAAAATATTGAGCTGCTGCATGTATGCTGAATGTCAAAAGAAAACAAGACATTTTCCAATCACACCCTCGAGTGGACAAAGACCATTCAATCTGTATCTTAGCAGATTGACGGCACCTCATGCTGATTAAACAAGTCATATACATAAAGATCAAAGGTCACCGGCTCACCTGTGGGATTCCCAGCCAATCATCTGCGAGCTGCATGGCCTCCGTGGCGTTATCCACAGGCTTCTCTGAGTCCCAGATCTCCCAGTCAGGACACAGCCCTGAATACCAAAGATATAGATATTTTTTTAACATCTACAGTTGAAGTCAGGATTATTAGCTTAGATTATTAGATTATTAGATTATTAGCCCTCCTGTATATTTTCCCCCAATTTCTGTTTAATGGATACATTTTTTTTAACACATTTCTAAACAAAACCGTTTAAATAACTAATTTCTAATTAGATAACATGTTAGGCTGGTTGCTATAGGGATTTAATAACGGGTTGCAACATTTATAGTATCTTCTAAGGATCATACAGCACAAAAGCATGCACTAAACTGTTTCCTCTCACCAACTGATAAACAAATAAGGACAGATGAAGGTGGTAAACACTCATTCACAGCTGTGTTTTGTGGTTAAATCACCGTATCCGCAGAAAAACAGAGCAAACGAATCCAGCTGTCCAATAAACACAGGAATGAAGCGCTCTGCATACTAACACCTTTCTACCACCAATCATGCTGGATATGTTGGTTACGAGCAAGCCTTATGACGTTATCAAATATTCTTGTTGTAATTAATTGCTGAAGCTTTTTTCGAGTTATACGGTAATCATCATGATGTTGACCAAGGCAGCAGAAAAAGGTTATTTTAACAGGTATAATAACAAAAAATTGTGTATTACTTTACAGCATATACATTACGACTTTAAATTACGACTACAATTTTAATGTGTATTTGAACAATTTGAAGCTTCAGTAGTTTTAATAGTAGGTTTTGTTAGCTTTTAGATTTTTTGTGACTAACTTTGAGTAATCTTGACCATCAGTGAATACGTATACCTACATCCACATTTATTCGTGTCTGTTTGTTTGTAACAACACAGTTTTTGATTATTTTCGACTGTTTGGCGCCATATTGTGTCTGAATAATGCTCAGGTTGGTGTATACTCATCAGCTGATTTAGTTTCTGTCAGCTTTGTGTTTTCGACCGTTTCGCGCCATCTTGTAAATGAATACGTAGGTTAGTATATTGTCCATTCAGCCGGACTCGTTTCTGACAGCTTTGTGTTTTTGACTGTTTGGCGCCATCTTGTGTCTGAATAATGCACAGGTTAATGTATACTCATCAGCTGATTTTGTTTCTGTCAGCTTTGTGCTTTTGACTGTTTGGCGCCATCTTGTGTCTGAATAATGCGCAGGTTAGTGTATACTCCATCAGCTGTATTCGTTTCTGTCAGCTTTGTGCTTTTGACCGTTTGGCGCCATCTTGTAAATGAATACATAGGTTATTATATTGTCTATTCAGCCGGACTCGTATCTATCAGCTTTGTGCTTTTGACTGTTTGGTGCCATCTTGTGTCTGAATAATGCGCAGGTTAGTGTATACTCCATCAGCTGTATTCGTTTCTGTCAGCTTTGTGCTTTTGACTGTTTGGTGCCATCTTGTGTCTGAATAATGCGCAGGTTAGTGTATACTCCATCAGCTGATTTTGTTTCAGTCAAGTTTGAGCTTTTGACCGTTTGGCGCCATCTTGTGTCTGAATAATGCGCAGGTTAGTGTATACTCCATCAGCTGATTTCGTTTCTGTCAGCTTTATGTTCATGACTGTGTGTGTCCATCTTGTGTCTGAATAATGCGCAGGTTAGTGTATATTCCATCAGCTGTTTTAGTTTCTGACAGCTTTGTGTTTTTGACTGTTTGCCACCAACTTGTCAATGAAGTTTGCGCAGGTTAGTGTATACTCTATCGGTTCTTTTTTGTAAGCTTTGCATTGTTGACAGTGAATTAATACTGCCATCTTGTGAATTATTAAAACGTTGGTTAATATATTCTCCATACAGCTGAATTTGTTTGTCATCTTTGTTTTTTGTCTGTTTGGCACCATCTTGTGTCTGAATGTGCAGGTTAGTGTATACTCCATCAGTTGTTTTAGTTTCTGTCAGCTTTGAAATTAATTAAAGAATTAATAAACTTTTACAGTTAAGATTGTTTTGTGTCTAATTTTTGTTTTGTGGCAAGTAGTCATGTAAGAAGCGTGATAAAGAACATTCAGACGGTTGTTTTCGAAGAATAAAGCCCTTTATTCTTACACAACAGTGCGCTGCTGATAAACCTGTCAGGCTTTATTCTGTGATAACAACCTTCTTGATGTACTTTATCACTAATACATTAAATATCAGAACAATGAGTGTTGATTTTGAGCTGTGGATCTGACCTGGAGCGCAGCTGTCCACCAGAGCCCCCAGAGCCCTGCCGTTCCTCCAGTCCTGGCTGAAGTTGGTGATGGGAAGGTCAGGCACTTTGTTCTGGATCCAGCCCAGCAGCCTCTGCTTGGGCGTCTGTTTCTTGGCTTCATCATCGTCTTCATCCTCCCAGACGGGCATAGAGATGGAGTAATGGAGGATGAGGGTCCATACTAGACCCAGGATCAGCTTCAGGTTCCCATCTACAATCGCTTTGCTGTCTGTTTGGAAAAAGGAACAAAGGTCAAGTATTAACAATATTAATAATAATAATAATCAACAACAACAAGTTAGGGTTCCCACTCTTTCAAGTAGGCATGGGACGATAACTGGTTTCAAGGTTTACAGAGGTTTGGAAAAGGCACAGTTTTTATATTGCTAGAACTTTCCGTTTTAACCATTCTCACCATATGTAAGTTTTTTGCTTTGCTTTTTTATGATGTTTTTACGTTTTTTAGGCCACCATTATCTCCAGCAGAAAAGGAGCCTCCACACCAAAAGCTACTAATCAGCCCGCAATTCAGCAAACATTTTAAATACAAGTCGCTTATGCACCAACATCCAGCATGCTGTAGAGCCGAACAGTGCAGTGGCTTTACTTTAAATCCAAAGAAAAGAAAGATATCCAAACATGCCTTTTTCAAGTTGAAAGGAAATCAGTGCTTTAGAAACTAATGAAGTCAATAATTTATTACAATCATTTAGTCTGACATGTTCACTGTTCCAAATTATATTAAATGTTTCTTAAATTGAAATCTATTTTCTTCAATGGGGAAAAAAAATTCTTGTTGACATTTAGGTACATGTCTTAGGCTGTACTCACACTAGGTAAAGTTGCCTCGAACTGGGCCAAAGCACGCTTGTCCCCCCTCCCATCTCCCCCGATGGCCCGCGCTCACACGGGCCTCGGCACGCTTACGTCATCGATGCTGCGCTGTTCAGTGAGAAGCGCTCTCGCTCTGCACAGTGGAGATTTCTCTAGTTATATCATGTCAGTCGTTTGATATGCAGTGACATGCAGTCAAATATTCGCCAAACAGTCCTTAGGGATGTGGTGAACACGCAGTCAGATATTTCACCAAACAGATCCGCCACTTTTGACGCTCATAAACAATCATAAAGCTCTCGTGCTGCAGAAATGAGGAGGTTTGCTGAAGGTGCAGCTGTTGTGCAGTGAGGGGTTTGTGTCTTTAATAAACTACGGCAGTTTGCGATCACTGAACAGTAAGAATGATTAATAAATCCATATGAAACAGCCCCTTAAAAGTCACGTATCGCTTTCAGTTTCGGGCTTTGGCGCGTTTTGCACTCACACACAAGCGTACCGTGCCAAAGCCCAAGTGAACCGCGCTCAGGCACACCTCTTCCAACCGGGCCAGGGCCGGCCAAGTCAACCGTGCTTAAGCCCGATTCAGAGCACTCACACTTCTCAAACGATCCGGGAAACGGGCCTGGGCACGGTACGGATGGCATAGTGCGAGTAGGCCCTTAGAGCACTAAATCACAATACAGTGATACTGGGAAACCATGATATTTTAATCCAAGGTTATCGTTATCATACCATCGGAATCTTTTAGCAGCCCATGCCTACTTTCATGAACAGCAGACAAAGACTTTTAAAAGCATCAATAATTTCAAATCAAGCACTGTTGTAATTCTCACTGCCGCATATGTAGTGAGATGAATGTCCTTACTGTACCTCACAGTTCACTTACACTTAATATTTACATTAAAATATCAGAGTAATAATGTTTTAAATGTGTCATTTTTAAAAGTCTTGTTCAACGAACTTTAATAAATAATGTTAAATTCAATAATGGAGATATTCCAACATGGTTTCTGACATTTTAATTAAATGTAAATTATTTGCAATAGTTCTTGTACAAGATTGGAATTGAGTATTTAATTGAGTATTAAATGAAGTGTTTCTCATTTCTCCATTCTGTTTTTAACAGCAGCACAGTGCAATTGTTGAAATAACACCAATTTTATTTCAAATTTATTTCAAGCATATGTTTGTTTTTTTAATGCTTTCCAGGCCTTGAATCTTGATTGTCTGAAATTTAAGTACTTTTAAGGAGTGTGGGAACCCTGTCAATAATAAATTACAATAACTTCCAAATTAGTCACATTTCAAGTGAATAAATCACACGTGTGCAGAAACAAGTGATTAAAGTACTACAAAATTAACAACAAATTGCAGTTGTCACAAAAAGCACATTCAATTATAAACTAACGTAATTATGAAAGAATAAAAAAATACAGATGTGAATTTCCGCTTCTAAATATTGCATGTAAATAAAGGCAGCAAATAAGTACCTAAATTACAAAATAAAAAGAGAAACATGTTATTAAAACGGCAAATATAAACTTATAAATGAATGAAGAATTATAAATTAAATAACCGTTAAAGCAAGTAAACAGGCAATGAACAAAAGACAAAACATACAAGCTAATAAACATTCAAGAACTTATTAATCAAAATACGAACAAACTTAAGAAATTAAATAAGAGATAAACTGCTTAAGTGGAAATATCATTAAAAAGGGACAAATAAACAGCATTTTACCATTTAGAATAAGGAAAATAAACACATCAGAAAATATACATACATAAGGTTGACCTTCACAAACATCACTAATGCTATAATATTAGAGTTGTAGCAGCTCAGTGCACACAACCAATAGGATTAGTGTTTGCTTGGGTAAAGCAGCTTATTACAGACTAGACATATAAATATAGAGATGAGGTGGAGTAATGTGTGTGTGTGTGCGTGATTCAGCACTTCACCTCCAGCAGAAGGAAAGAGCAGGGGCCTCATGTACAAAGACTTGCGTGGAGTTGAATTCATGCTAAAACATTGCGTACGGACAAGGCTGTAAATGTTAAGTAAAAAAATTCAGATGTATGAAACAATGCGTACGAGAATACCACGCATATTCTCTTAACATGAAACTGAGCACACGTGCACGAGCGCAAAACCCCTCACTGCCTCCACCCCGGTATAAGGTAATGACTTTGGCAAAACCAAACGAAAAAGCAAGCAAAAAGAGAAACTTCACAGAATGTGAATTGGAGGTGCTCCTATTGGAGGTAGACCGAAGAAAAATTGTCTTATTTGCAAGTTTAAATTGTAGAGGTGTGAACCTACACTGCAGTCCATCAACTCCCCTATAGTGCATGTGTTTGAACTGTGGGGGAAACCGGAGCACCTGGAGGAAACCCACGCCAACACAAGGAGAACATTCAAACTCCACACAGAAATGCCAACTGGACCAGCCAGGACTAGAACTAGCCACCTTCTTGCTATGAGGCAACAGTGCCAACCATTGAGCCACCGCCCATAGCAATGCATGTATAATGCAAATAATGTCTTACACACTCATTACCAAAGAGAAAAAAATTACAGATTTGTTCATTTGAGGTGAGTGTGCACTCTGTAGTGAACACAGGAGAAAAGAAAAGATCTGCAGTGTGTGTGTGTGTGTGTGTGTGTGTGTCCAGCCGCTCCCCGTCTCTCTCACACTATCAGTCTGTTTTGCAAACATCAGGAATGGTGATGAACTTCAGCACACAGAAGAGTAAAGCCAAAGATCAGAAGCAAAACCAGAAATAAATCTAGAACGCTAACGCCCTTACAGTTAAGATATTTAGGCTAGTCAGTGTGTATAATAAACAGTTGAAGTCAGAATTATTAGCTCCCCTGTTTATTTTTCTCCTCAATTTCTGTTTAACAGAGAGCAGATTTCTTCAACACATTTCTACACATAATAGTTTTAATAACTCATCTCTAATCATTTATTTTATATTTGTCATGATGACAGTATACAATAATTGACTAGATATTTTTCAAGACACTTCTATACAGCCTAAAGTGACATTTAAATTCAATTTAATTCAGCTTTATTTGTATAGTGCTTTTAAAGGCTTAACTAGGTTAATTAGGTTAGCTGGGCATGTTAGGGTAATTAGGCAAGTTATTGTTTAACAATGGTTTGTTCTGTAAACTACCAAAATATATATATAGCTTGAAGGGGCTAATAATTTTGTCCTTAAAATGGTGCTTAAAAAATTAAAAACTGCTTTTATTCTAGCCGAAATAAAACAAATAAGACTTTCTCCTGGAGAAAAAATATTATCAGACATACTGTGAAAATGTCCTTGCTCTGTTAAACATCATTTGGGAAATATTTAAACAAGAAAAAAGAATTCAAAGGGGCGAATAATTCTGACTTCAACTGTATCCCAGGGCTATTCAATTGGCAGCATGCGGGCTGAACCCGGCTCCCGAGGCAATTTAATAAATTGATTTAAAATTGTACTAATAGTAAGTGTATATTTTCATAAACTGGATTCAAAGGCATATTGAACAATATATATATATATATATATATATATATATATATATATATATATATATATATATA